AGGAAAACTTGTCAACAACTGAATTGAACATGTTAAATGTATCTGAAAAGTTATGTTGCACATCGACCCCAATCTGATTTTTGATGCGTCCTTTAAATTTTCACCCCCCGCATATAACCTGCGACGTTGTCTGGATTCTTCCTCTCATCATTCTGAGCAAGTATCGTCCAAGCAGGAGAAAATTCGTTACAAAAGCACTGAAAGAGAACGAAGTAAAGAAAAACGCACTTTTTTAGTAATTTTCACAAAAAAAAACTTCGGTATAAACAAAGAAGTAAGCTCGGCGACGTTGTCCACATTATAGACAGAAACAAGACCTATCGAATACACAAAAAAACCGAGTGAAAAGAGTTAAAGTGAATAAAAACAAGAGGTTTTCGAAAACGCTGTTTTTCCCAGATTTCTTTTTTAAATCACAAAAAGGAGTCTTGCGACGTTGTCAGCGTGAAAATAGAGATTAAGAGCTTTAATATGATATATAGATTGTGAAAATTGGTCTCCGAACAGCAAAGAAAAGGGTACCAGAGCTAAATGCCCCGCGCCCCGCGTTTGGGGTAGCGAGTATACTTGGGGAAATTCGAAATTTTTTTCGAATATTCGAATATCGAATATATTCGAAAATTGAAAATTTCGAATATTCGACTTTCGAATATTATTCGAAAATCGGAAATTTCGAATATTCGACTATCGAATATTATTCGAAAATGAAAATTTCGAATCGAATAATATTCGAATATCGAATATCATTCGTTATTCGAATACTGACCGAATAATTTACGTCATTGAGACTGCCTATGAAAGGCCAAAACACCTAAGAGCAAATTGTTTCATGTAAGTGCTAAGATGGACACATTCTTATAGTACAATTTACGATGAAAAAACGGTTTAGTCGTGACGTGAAGAGACTTAGGAACTTGATAGCTACTCCTGTGACGGTTGTAAAGAGAGCTTTCGTACTTCAAAGAAGATTATATACCCTCAATGAGAATTGCGATTGGATATACAGCGGTCCCAACAGTATGTAGATCTGTAGGCTGACGTCAATTTAGAGTATGGGGCGATTTATCAATCGCTTTTCACTGTTGTAAAATTATCGTAAGACTGAAGCAGATTTCAAACAAGAGCCATTTCCCCAAGAAAAAGAATTAAAAGCGCTGAAAGTCTTGCTTTAGATTCCTAAAGACACTCACTTTATGTAGAATTTGCATTCAACCGTAATGCTTTTTTTTCAAAATTTACGCCAGGTATCCTGTGTCCCCCAGAAAAGTTCCCATGTGAGCCAGCGTGCGTACGTGGTGCGACGCTGCCTTTCGCTCTTTTTGACATGTTTCTCCTGAGATTTCAACGGAACTGCCCGAGGTTAACACGTTCAAAATAGCGAAAGGCATGACGTGGTACCTATGGGAAATTTACTGGGGAACAAACGATACACCGTAACAAGTGTTTTGCAACGCCTTTCAAAAATGTGATTGCCATTTGAAAAGCTTGAAAACTCGTGCGTAGTAGAATCAGCATACGTAAAAACACTGCTGCACAGATTTTAGACCTTCTTTGGGGACAATTTTTTTGGATGTCTTATTTTGCAGTTGGTCTATAAGCTGGAGTTTCCTACTGTGATAATACACAATAAGAAAAACATGGGTGATTCGCTTTCTGCTGTATTTATAAGCTGAGGCGGAGGTGGTGCAGGAGGAACCAAAGCCCTTGACCCCTGTATCCAAGAGGGAATGGGGAAGGCAGAGGAGGCTCCGCCTATCGCTCCGCCCACGGGGTGCTCCCATTGTGTGTTGAGCAAAAATGGTGGATGGACTACCAGATATTGGTCAAATTCGATGAGTTAAGAGGTTGAACTATGAATTGGAACATGGGAAATGGACAATAAAGATTCTAAAACAGGTTTTAAGGTACCGGGGTGATAATAGAAGTAGTATCATGTCATAAACCTAGTAAATGTATAGAGTAACGGTCATCTTTGTAAGATTTATATAGAACACCTTTACCATTTAACTGTTGGTTAATTTTGCTCAAAACCGATGTGATAATGATACAGCTTAGAAGGTGGATTACCAAAAAAATTGATTTAAAGCTGGAGAACATAAGCCGAAAATGAAGTTTTAAAGTGATTTTAAAAATAACTCTAAAGAACAACTACAACAATAACAAAAAGAACAACTACATCTTGGATACTCAGATCCAAAAAGGACGTAGAATGCAAACGCAAACATCGTTATGCCTGAGAGGAGGCTCAGTAAAGCTTCACAGCTCAGATTTGAAGTACGAACCAAATCCGGACAACCTTCACCCGGCTGGCAGCTGTCGAGCCATAAAATTGAAGAATTGGGACAATATGTATTATAAATAGGGGAAAACCAATGAAAACTACTGCAACTGTTATAACAGAGAAGTGTTGGTGACTTTGCCTGCTTTTAGCAGCTTTTTGGCCAAGTCTGATTTTGCAACTCGAACATTTTTGGTTAATAGTTTGGCATCTATCTGCTTTCGCAAGTTTCTTTGCGAAACACAACTTTTCAACGTTTTTCTAGCAATTTTTCCCAATCTTTCCCTCCCACCTCCGAGTGAAACATTTGATGGAGTTAATAAAAAGAAGTTTTCACTTGAGTCATGACTCTCTTGGCTCATCAGACGACTAGCTTGATCCTGCAAAGGTCAACTAATCGGCTATCGATTAGCGCAAATGCAACTAACACAGTGACTATCGTAAAATATTGAGAAAATTACCTCAGGATAAAACCAGTGTTAGTAAGTTTTTCGCGAAGCCATTCAGGTATTGGAGTAAAAATTAAAATGTTCGCCAAAGAGGAGTTCATGAAAAATTTGAAATCGAGCCGGGGCTCTAATAAAAATTGTTCATCAATTTCCAATCTTCAAGAGAATGCTGAATTGCATTGATGTAAATTCATACAAAAGTCCATTTTAAAGATTCGTCTTTCAAAACTGGTCACAAATTTGTTTTCCCCTTCCTTGTATCTCCACCCCAGGTCTTTTGAACTAGCCTTTTCCGTCAAGGAATTCCTGAACAAAAAGGCAAGACCCAGACTCAGGGCAGTGGGCGGAGCTTGGAAGGTTGCCAGATCCTTCTTGGGCACGCAGCCAACTCCTCCCCTTTCCTTCTTGGATACAGCGGTCAAGGGCTCTGGTTCCTCCTGCACCGCCGCCAGCTGAGGCCATCCCTACTGGATGTTACCCAGAAATTGGCAAAAGACTTTGAGAGGTATTAGCGATCAAACGGTGTGTAGATACTTTTAAGACATCCCGTATACGCTATGCATATCGAATTCTCGAATATTCGGGGCTATCGAATTTTCGAATAGTCAAATCTTATCGAATTTCCGAATATTCGGCGCTCGACGAATATTCGAATATTTGATGGACATCGAATGATCGAATGAATGACCCTTGAATATTCGACTATCGAATATTATTCGAAAATTGAAATTTTCGAATATTCGACTTTCGAATAATATTCGAAAATAAAGATTTTCGAATATTCGACTATCGAATATATTCGAAAACTGAAAATTACTAATATTCGACTTTCGAATTTTATTCAAAACTAGATGGCAAACCCGGCTCCGCCCGGGGCCAAACTTTGCACACATACACTTCGGGGCAGGGAGCGTGTCATAGTCCACTTTTCGTTATCGATCGATGTCGATTTCACCGATTTTTTGCAAATTTTGAGCTACGGGGCTGGGATTTTGCACAGGGGGGTAATCGAACATGCTGATCACCCCCACGGGGGTGATCAGCATGTTCGATTACCCCCCTGTGCAAAATCCCAGCCCCCTAGCTCAATTTGCAAAAAATCGATAAAATCGATATCGATCGATAACGAAAAGTAGCCTATGACACGCTCCCTGCCCCGAAGTATATGTGTGCCAAGTTTGGTCCCGATCGGTTCAGAAATAAAAATTTCTATTCCGCACATACGTACAGACAGACATACAGACATACATACAGACAGACATTCAGCTTTATATATAAGATCTCAAATTTTCGAATATTCGACTTTTCGAATCATTCGCATTCGAATGACTTATTCGAATGATCGAATAATTATTCGATTCGGTCCCAAGTATAGTAGCGAGGTAGCGCGCAGCGCGCAGCGCGCGGAGACGCAGACGAGCAGCGGAGACAGACCAGAGCCGGCGGGGCATTTGGCTCTGGTCATTGATCTCCGCGGGGTCATAACGAAGCCCTATAACACTATATATCGTTGTGATCATCATGAGACGGCCAGGAGCACTGACAATGTCGCGAGTCTTGAAAATCACTCCACAACAAGATAAACCAGCATTTATATGGCGACTCTCTGCGCAAAATTTGAGCGCAGTTTCTCGTTTTCTATTGAACTCCAGCGGCTTTCATAAACTTCCAATGCTCAATCGCAGTTTAGAGAAAGGTTAATTGAGAAATTTCATCCTAGTTTTTAATTGAATTTCTGAATAAAAACCTTTTTTTCAGCAAAAAGGCCATATAAACGCAATCCTTTGGTTTTTTAAAGCTACTTTTGAATATCACTTGCCTCATTCACATTCATCCCTATATGGTTATGTCATTAGTCATGTCATATCCGGGCTTTCGCCCTGGTTGACTTTTGCACTTCTCTCCAGGTGAAGGTTGTGTTCTATCATGAAGCTCAAAGTAAAGGTCACCAGAGTACATGGCTCTATGTATCGAAGGTATGCTTTTGCCTATCTATCCTATTAATGTTTTTAAACCCTGATACCTAAAATATGATGTAACAGGGTATTGCCATACAAGCTTAGAATTTTACAACTTTTTCTGATTCAGGGAATCCCCAGGGAATCATTACCAAGTCGGTTTTTCCCTCATCAGCAAATAACTACGAACAACTAACGCACTAACTCGCTAAGGTACTACACAGTAACACAAAAAATATTGCACAAGTAGCACATATTTTGACTTTTCAAAATAATGATCAAGTGGGAATCAAACAAAATTTCAAATCAACGAACCAAGTCGAATGGTTGATAGTAAGCACCATCAAGTTTGCAGCGTTCTATCCAATCTGGGAATACTTCGGCTATTGTTTCTGCATGACGTGCCAAAATGATCTCTTCTCCTTGAAACGATGTGGCAGGACGCAAGGTCTGAAGTATATATTTCTGGACTTGAAGAACTTTTACCAATTTGATGACCTCATAATGCAACAAGCCTTGCATTTACAGCTTGGTCTACACTTTTATGTGCAATAGGCCAAATGAAGTAGTGAGACATTATACGCATGTGCGATGGCTTTGTCAACTTTTTGGATTTGAATGCCGACCTGGGGTAGGAAATCCCTGCTAGAAGTTTAATCACACTGGATGTGTGAGCGCAACGCACATCGAACTTGCTTTTACGAACAATTTTAACACCAAGTAAATTCCGACCAAGATATTCACCATTTTTTTAGTCGCCACGCGCTATGGAAGTTCGCTATATTTAAATCCAGTGCTCACAGACAACAAATGCACTGCGTACAGCTTTTTAGACTGATGAACAGGGTCAAGCGTGGGGTGCGGCACGCCACACCTGGGGGGTCGTATTGAGGAGTCAAAAGGGGAGGGGTCGTAGTTGGGTAATCTGATAATAGTGATAACATGATATTCGTATCATATCCATAATTAGCATGCCAATTAACCCCTGTAGACAAAGTGTGAGCGAATTCTGGAGATTCAAGATACTAGGCTACCTAAATGAAATGGTCAAGTTCCCACATGGTCAACTTTGTTTCAAAGGTGAATTAGCTATCCGTTTTTGCACTCAAGACAAAGCACTACTCCTTCTTTGTCCATCTCAGGAATCCCGCTTCAGAAAACCTGCAAACTTGGAATTAGAAGCCAACTAAAACCTCATTTTTCCCACTTTTCGCTTTTGATCGCTGTGCTTTCACCAAATATTACTCAGAGCTAAGAAGACGAATCAGGCTCCAAACAGTCCTATGGAATCTACAAGGTTTAGGCTATCGATTCATATAAATACTGTCCGCTAAAAATGTTTTTTTGATATAGTTAATGGGGTGCGGCACATTCCCTTAAAAGCTGCGGCTGCCGCAGCTTTTAAGGGAGTGTGCCGCACCCCCTTAATTTGCCTTCAGAATCCAGAAAGCGCTCCATTGCTGGTATGACTATTGAGCACATAGCTTCTTCTTGCTACATTGAAAATTTGGAGCCGAACGCCCCATCCATAAGAAAATTATGGCCCTTTCAATATGCCTATTCAGATCAAAATCAGCCGTCAAATTACGTGTGATTGTAAAGTACAGTCACAGAAAATCGGGCGTACAGCTCTCAAAAATCTGAAAACTTTCTAGAAAAAGATGGTGTCTCCCAGAATGTCACACTTTGAGGTTCAGAGGTTAAGAGGAGGAAGAAGGGGTCGTTTGAGGACTTTCATGGGAGGGGGAGGGGTTTTCGAAAGACTTGTGCTTGACCCAGGGCCCGGCACCGATGGTTTGGGGTCAAACTGGACTTCGTTCCTGGAGTTAGAAGCAACGGGGACATCGTTTTTATGAGGTCCTGGAGGAAGCGCCAAAAAAACAAGACGAACATGTCACGTTTCACGAGTTGAGCGTGTTCTTTCGCAAGCGCGCGAATTTCAAATGCAAGACTCAAACAAACAAATGGCTTGTTTACAGCGCACAAACAATCACATGGCTCCGAATTTGGGCTATGTGTATACAATATTACCCCAAACTATGTTATGTAAAAAGTTCCCGAAACTTATGTGTCCTAGTATCCGTTCTCAAATTTGTTGGTTTCTAGACCAACTACCAAACCAACTGAGCTGGTTCGGAGCATAAATATCGGAGAGTTCACATAAGTTTTGGACCTTTTTGATTTGGACGATTAGAACGGTCAAAAATCTATCATATAGTGAAGAGAGCGGATCAAACCGTTGCCTCTCCCCTTTTTTGAGTCAAAAGTAGTATAATTCTACGCGTTGATAGATACCGCGCCCCAATCACTTGCGGTGTCCTTTGAAATATGTGGCGAAAAATGCATCGCAGAATTGTTGAGGCTACAAATTTGGTTGGCCTAAGAGATTTTCGACATTCCCAGAATCAAAATGGTACAATACGCAGAGCCTTTAATCGACTCGAAATGTTTTCTTTTTGCTTTTTTTGTTATATCACATACCTCAAAACGCGCTTTTTTCGCTTTTTTGTTGCTATTTTGGTTGAATAAAGGTTTCCCTACTGATTTTCACGTCGAGAGCAAAGATGCGATAGGTGGAGAAATTTCTCTGACTCCCTTCACTTTAGGGCCGGCATCTGGCTGACCCTTTTCACCTGAGGTTGAGACTAGAATCAAGGCATAACGGCAGAATCAAACAGCTGTTATAACGGTACTTTTTGTTCGAAAACGAAACTAGCTGCTCTTCTCCTCAGACATCAAGACTGCAAGAGAGTATCGAAGCAACAGCGTTTTGTTGACGAAAAAACGCTGCTTGAGACCTCCTGCGCACTCAAAGTGGCGTTGATAACGAAACATAATCATCAAAAGGATGTCTGATTCTTTAAATAATTAACAATAAAAACATTGTCCAAGAAAGAGTTGAGCAAGAGTAGGAAATCTAGACCGGCTAGTGAAGGATGCCTGTTTACTGACAAGAAATTGTACTATAGCTCCTTTCACTAGAGAGATTAATAACAAATAAAAGAGCATTTAGATTACTCGCTTTCGAATCTATTTATAAATAAAACTCAATCTCTGTAAATTTGTTCGTATGTAAGTATGTGGCTTATAGACTCCTTTGTTGTGAACCGATGAGGCTGAAATTTGCTCCCCTGTAAATGAGGCCAGGCGCAGAAGATAGGCTACTTTTTGCGACGATTCACTGGGCCCCTCCATTGATTTATTGATTTGTTTACTTACATCGAGGGTTCATCAACCATTGTTGAATCATTTTCCCACAGCCATGTAAGTTGGGCGGTGAAGTTCATTTACATTTTTCGGCCACAAGGATCCGGTGTTTCAAGTCAGCAAGGAAGACGTCACCATCGTGGCCATATGGGGAAGATCGGTAATTTCCGTTCGGGATTAAGTTGCTCAATTCCCGGGCGGGATCGGAAGCGCCATCTAGTTATATATAAAATTTCGAAAGAGACCTTCTTGGTTTGAAAAGATAATTACCAAGAATGGGCTGATATTGCAGCTAGATAAAACTGCTCGTAGCTCGCTTCACAGAAAAGCTAGAAAAAAATAGACAAGCTATGTCGATTCCTCGTGTTCTTAGCCATCGAATGGTATACAAATTGTTGGTGCACAAAGCTTCCCCAGTCCAAAAAAGTCTTGCTCCGGCGACACATGGAAAGCCGGAGCGAGGTGGAGCAAGTTAGTATTGAATATCTCCACCTCATTTTTGAAAAGCCACAAGTTCTTTCAACAACCTACATACCATTAGAAAGCCCACGAAAAGGGATTCGACGTAGACCGTATCTTTTTCTCTAGCTCCCCTCTACTCAGAGACACATGGTATTTTAGCTAGAAACATGTGTGTATTTGTCAGAGAATTTCTGCTTGAAGAATGAATGAAGATGCCTGATTGTCTAGCAGTACCACAGAGCAGGATCTTGCCAGTAAACGTAGACCGTCTCTTTTTTTCTATCTTTGTTGTTCCCCTCAAAAATGAAGCACAAACTAATCACACAAAATTAGCTGGTGAGTAAGCATATAAAATTGCTCTTATCTCGCTTCACAAAAAAGCTCGAAAAAAAGAGACGGTCAACGTTGATTCCACATGTGTCAAGCTTTCGAATGGTATGTCGGATAAGACATAAAGCTTTCCTGAATCAAAAAATCAAGTTTCGGTTCGATGACCTTTCAGAACCAAAGCATTGAAAAATTTGTCTTATTCTACCTCTGTACCATAAATCCTCCTTCTTTGCACGCCCAAGTCTCGCTCGGCATGTAAGCTTACGTCAGCATTCACCTCAAGGCCCGGTTATCCCCTTCACTTTTCTGAGTCGGAGATAGCCGAAACCCCCTTCACCCGGAGGGGACCCTGCTCCCCCTATCGCATCTGTGGTCGAGAGGGACTTCGTAAAGTTTCGCGAAGTCATAGGGGACTTCGTTTCCTAAAAGCCTCCAAACCAACGCGTGCCGGGCCCTGGCCTGACCTCTTTCTCAACTCTGGTAATGCTATCTTAGGTATATAGTTCAGGGGGGGGGGGAGGATCTTATTACAGCAATCAGGGGGGGGGGGTCGTAACCAGCGATCGTGTGCCACACCCCTTGCTTGACCCTGCTGATGAACTGGCTCATCTTCCATACAGGGTCAAGCGTGTGATATGACTGTCGCAACGCGGGGTCGTAAGCGGGGTAATGGTGGGGGGGGGACGTAAAAGAAGGTAAGGTAGTTTGAATAAAAAGTCGTAAGCATGGAAGGAAATCGAATGGCAAATAATTATTACATGTTCTTAACAATAAATTTATGGAATGCCGTGTACCAATGTATCAAATAAAAACGAGTGAACAGTAATTCAAGAAGATTCGCAAACGTAGAAATTCGCTTCATTTGCTGCACTTTAAAAAGATTATGACTTAGTCCATTTTTTTGATGGGAATCACTATTTCTTCCGCAAAATATTTTCGCAAACGGGGATCGAACTCTGCTGGCATAACTAAAATTAAAAAATAAGTTTTGGAAGCTCAAATGCTACTAAAGGCATTTATGTGTGACAAAGATGTTGGATGTACTAATTGGTGTAGAGATCTTGCTTCCGAAGGCTCACTGAAGGGTCGCACACTCGACAAAAGCGCATATCTCTATCAACGCTAATTATCAATAATTTGTAAATCTGTTTATAATGCTTTTCATACGGTCCTTACAATTTACTTGTACTTCAGAGGTGCTCCACTACATTAGTGCAAAACTTGGTTCTACTTTATAGCCTTCGAATTTTATTATGATCAGTGCGTCACCTCTGCTTCGCAAAGGCTCGCACTGGCTTTACTATCTGTACGACTTACTCATTTCCGCACAATACTGACATTGAAACACACCGCGCTATGCGGACTATCACGAATGATTTGTAATCAATCACTCATTCCAAAAGCTTCTCCATGTGAGATCGGTAATTTCGCGTGAATGAAACTGTTCCCAA